CCTCCCCCTCCCCCTCCCAGCTCCCATTCCAGCCATTCTCATCGACGTAGTGTGTTAACACGTTTTTGGCGGTCAGCACTCCTGACGACGCAACAAAACCCTCTCAAAACTCCCTCTTTTGGTCCGTCTCTTCTCTCCGTGTCCGGTTGCTCGGCGCATGATTCCTCTGCCTAGGCGTACTCCACGCGATGGCCCGCGGCATCCAGAGGATGTCTGGATGCACAGCAAACACTCACGTGAGGGCAAAGAAGCAGCGAAATCAGAAACGCCGTTGCTAACCGCACCGCACCCATCCCTCCGTGTCGATGCATGAGTGCACCAGTCAGTCACGCCAGGCATGTGTCGATAAACAGAAGCCCTCACAAATACGACCGACTGACCACTGAGCATGTGGGTGGGTGCGCCAGTCCGCACCACAAGATCGTGCTGCCCCACGTCTGTTACTTGGCCAGCTGTCTTGAGGCAATCAAGGACGTGCTCAAATGAAGTTCCCAAGGGTGCATCCTCGAGACCTTCATTCAGCCACCACCCTCACCGCCACCAGACAGCAGGCCCGTTGACAACCAGCCAGGAAGGAAACAGGAAGGAAACAAAACAGAATAAAATGGTGAAATGGACAAGCGCGTATGGCGAAGTTAGGATGCCCATCAGCAGGGCGTTTACAATGAGTATGTGAGTGGGTGGGTGGCTGTGGGTGTGGTGTGTCCGTCTGCTTTGCCTGTCCCATTGCAGGAAAGAGGCCGCCATGAGACCGACCGCCTTGCTCGCCACCCACCCACCCCTGCAAGCATCCATCCAACAGAGAGGGCCATGAATGGCAGGTAGGTACGTCGAATGAATCAATGGATAAAGAGCAGCTGTGTAGCACTAGACACTGTACACAACACAGCACGTTGCACGACATAGATGGGGCCAAAAAGCGGCCCCGGCACCTCAAGACATCGACCTTCGGTACCGCAACCACACTGCAGTGTGCAGGTACACGGGCACGGGTACCTGTTGCAGTTCGTCGGCGGCGCCGAAGTCAGATATCTTGAGGCGGGCCGGTACAAGACATCACACCGCAACATAGGACAATACAGGAAGGAGAGACGGCACAGCAGGGCATCCATGCGTCTGTCTTGTCATCTGCCTGCGCATCCATCCATCCATCAGGAATGCAGGCACCCGCCCATCGTTTCTCCCATATGAGCGACGCGCAATCCGGACACACCACCTGAGCGTTAACGCTCTCTCTCCCCTCTCTCTGCCCTCCCCTCACCCCTTTGGCCCACCCGCCCGAGCAGTAAGTAGTAAGTGAACCCTGCCTCACGTATGAATGTCTGTACGTATGTATGTCTGTATCCATGCATGCATGGCATGCATGGCTCTCCCTCCCTCCCTCCCTCGTTTGTCGTTGGTTGATTCGTTTGGTCGCGTCCCATTCGGACACAGACCCACACGATATCACGACAGACAGACACCACACGCATCACGCATCACGCATCACGCGACAGCTGACCCGACCGCCCCCTCCCCCCTCCTCCCCTTCTCGAGTGCCGGCAAAAGCTTTATCCGCACGGCAGCCATCAACCGACCTCGACGAACATGAACACCACACGAACGGGAACGCAAGATGGTGAGAGAGAGGTAGAGGGGGGGGGGAGAGGTAGAGGGAGGGAGAGAGACGGAATGGTCACAGGCAGGTGGTGGGTGAGGTAGGTGGTTGACGATAGAGGCCCGAAAACACACCTAAAAACAAAGCGAAATCCTCCTTTCCCCTCCCGTCCATCCGTCCGTCCGACCACAGGTGCCTCAGTGCTTCCTGTCTGTCTTTTTTCATGGCAGATCGACTGCCTGTCTGCCTGCCTGACGGCTGACTGAGTGGATAGGTTTCCGACAGACAGACAGACAGACAGGCAGACAGACCAGACAGGTACACACTTTCGCGTACCGTCAATTAGCTGAGGCAGGCACCGTAAAGCACACGACGCCACACGACACGAACCGACGACCAACCGACAAACCGACCATTAGCACGCGGCACCCGGCAACGATGCTCATCTTCCTCTCCTTATCGCCCTTCTCTCCTCAGCTGGCTTGGGTCTCGCCTCTCGTCTATCTCCTGTCACGCCGTGTGAGTATGGGAGTGGACATGTCTGTGGGTATGACATGCCACACATACCCACGCCAAGTGGCAAGAGAGAGATGAGAGGGGAGCACCAAGAAAAGGTGAGCGACTCGCAGGCACCTCCCCCGCCGCTTTCCCACCCCACACGACCACCACGAGTGTACACCAGAGCAGATACGCGGACAGTCGATAAAGCGGTAGCATACACCCGCCCGTATGGGCACACAGGCGCACACTCACACACGCACACACACAGACACACGACAGCATCCCGTCCCGCCTCTCTTATTGAAAGCCCCTTCCCTCCTCCCCTTAGCTAGACCACCCCATCCGACTTTAAGGGGTGGTTCCGACAGCGAAGCTGATGGGTGACGAGATGGGCGAGATGGACGGCGATTCGTTGCCCACCTCGTCGCCCATCTCAGTGCTGTACTCGCTGTCCGAGCCCTCCCCGCTGTGTCCCATGATCGGCAGCCGGGGGGACTCGTCACTGTGTCCGGTGGAGGACACGTCCACGGCGGCCTTGGACGAGCTGTGGGCGTGGTGGTGGTGATTGCCTCTGCGGCAGCGCCGCAGAGCAGAGCGGAAAGACGCCGACCGTACCAGGTTGGAGACGCCCCCACACCTGGCCGCCCCGCCGCCCTCCTTCTCCCGCTGTGTGTCGGTCATGTCTGAGTAGCTGTTGCTCTTGCCGAGGATGATGTCGACGGCCAGGAGTATCTCTTTGACCGTGTGTGGCTTGGACTGTGGGTGGAATGACCCTTCCTCGGGGATGTCCCGCAGCACCGGCGGGATGGACGACCGACGCTGGGAGCGGCGGAACGGCGGAACGCACGGAGAGGGAGACGCCTGCACCACACACAAGACGCACCCCAGAGACCGACACACAGGGGTGAGACACCAGTGTGTGTCTGCCAGTGGGGGGGTGAGAGACTCACCTCTGATGGCTTGCCGCTGCTGCAGCCCTGGCCGCTCTGCGATCGTGTGAGGGCCTTCTTAACGGAGGCGACGGCGGTCAGGAATACGCCGGGTCCGTAGAGACTCTCGCGACAGAGCACCGAGCACGCCGACCGCCGCCGCTGGCAAAACTGACAACTACTCTCCCACCGATGACGGCCGTCCTGACATCACGTAAACACACAGAACGGACAGCCACAGTCACACACGATGCGATGTCAGCACCGCACCCTCCCTAGGGCCGTGTCATCTGGTGTGCGTACCAGGGAGCGTCCGCACGGCAGCCGCGCGAGTGACGAGGTGACGCTGGCCTCGCACAGGCGGCACCTGTGCTCAGTGAAGCGATGGGCCATCTCGCAGCAGTCCCTACGCAGCGGGGGGTATCTCGGGCGATGTTCAACGTATCTGAGGGATCACAACGGCGATACACAGCAGAGGTGGGAGGTATCGGCGGAGGCCTCAGTGAGGCGAGAGGGCGTGTGCGGGCGTTGCGGCCACCCACCTTGCGCAGTTGGAGCGTTGACGGATCTTTCACACAAGCAAGGGTGATAAGGGCCTCAGCATCATGGCAACGCGATGATAATGCTCATACACCAAAGGGATATTCTTCGCGACGCCAATAATCCTCCGGTCCTGTGTAGGGTGCTCTTGCGCGAAACACAATGCGAGCTTTTCGTGTTGATCTTCTGCTGCATCTCTCCCTGGTCTGCCTATCGCTGAGTGCGTGCTTTCAATGATCTGAGCCTGTTGATCCATCTAATCAGCTTTCCAATGTTCCCAGCAGCGTCCCTTGTTGCCTTTGCAGTGGCACTTCCTGCCGTTGCCGCCGCTTTCGTGGCTCCGGCACACCCATCTCCCTCTTTCATCGTTACGGCAGCAACGCCCTCCCTGCATCTGAGAAGAAATCGCCCCGCGGCATCAGTGCTGGCAATGAGTAGTGATGGTGATGGCAGCGGCAGCCAGGGCGATGTGTGCAGGGGTGCTTACCTGAGGGAGATGGCCTGGTTTGCCGGTGCTGTGGCGCTCATCCAGACACTGAGGACAAACGCCGAGGCAGTATCTGGAGGTGGGCATGATTGCAGGTCGTGACTTGGTGTGTGATATGTGTGTTGAGTGTTCCTCTCTTGCCTGTCAGGTGGGAAGGATTATTCTGGACTGAACCTGTCGAACCAAGACCTCAGTGGTACCTAGAGAAGCAGGCAGACACTGCCATATAGAGCGGGTCCATTGTGCGTGTGCAGGTCAGTCGTTCATTGGCAAGGACTTCTCTCAGGCCATCGCTGAGGGCACCAACTTCAAGGGCTCTGGTCGGCAAGCACACACAGAGAGATGCACACACGTGATGACGCTGCTGCATATGTGTGTGTGTGTGTGTGTGTGTGTGTGGACACGTCAGATCTGAGCGGCACGCGCTTCTACAAGGCCAACCTCAAAGGAGCTGACCTCAGTGGTACGACGGAAGAAGAGGCACAACGAAACAGAAACTGCTGCACAAATCGTGAACGAGCATTCTCTCCTTTCGTCCGTCCAGGTGCCAAGATGCGCGCCGCGTCTTTCGAAGCGGCGCAGCTGGACGGCGTCAGTCTCAAGAATGCCGACGCCAGCTCGGCCTACTTCTCCGGCAGCTCCCTGGACAAGGTCGAGTCGATCGAAAACAGCGACTTCAGCGAGGCGCTGATGCGACAAGGGGTGAACCGTATGCTGTGCGAGCGGGAGGATGCGAAGGGCGTGAACCCGTCTACTGGGGTGGACACGAGGGAGTCCCTCAACTGCCCGTGACGCGGAGAGGGAGGGAGTGAGGGAGGGATGGGTTGATGAGATGATATGGTTGTCGTATAGACTCGTGGACGGGCAGATTTGTTGGCACTGAGATTGAACATTGACTTCTTTTTGATGGTTAAGGCCGTTGTCTGTGTCCACTCAAGGAGAAAGAAAACGGACCGACGGCTTCATCCCCACCACCCCCTGACTCTCAGGTTGTCAGACGCCATACAGCTCAAGCTGACAGAAATCACAGTGTCAGTCGAGGAAGCGTTGATGCGCTCAGAGCAGTGCAAGTGACACACACACACCCATCCACAAAACCGGCAGACACGGATAAAAATCACGCCCTCTTCCATCTCTCGGCCGGCTCCCACTCCCGCATCTCGTTGAAGAAGCCCGGCACGCGGTTCCTCTTGCCGGCACCGGCCACCTCCCCTCTGTAGCTCTGTGGCACTCGAAAGCCCTCCTTCGGCCGCCTGACCTTCGCCTTAGCCCGCACAGCAGATGATTGGACAGCTGGGGCAGGGGATGGGCCGGCAGCCCGCCATGGCGAGAGCATCATGGGGGCAAGGGCAGGCTTCTTGCTGCCAGGTGGGGGGGTCGATGGCTGGGGCTTTGGCTTTGCTCTTGCCGCCGACCGTTGGGTGTTGACCTGGTCGGCTGAGGCGCGTATGCGGTCATTCAGCCTCCTGAGGTCTTCGCGGGACGGAAGGCCTGCATAAGGAACGCAGACCGACGCTTTTGTGTGGGGCTTCTTCTGCATGTGTGGTGCGTGAGTGCCCGCTATTTACCATGCACTTTTGTGCTCAAATGCTCCACATCAGTGCGGAAGTAGAAAGACACGGGGGCGAAGGAGGTCAGGCCGGCAGTCGGATCAGCACCCAAAGCAGACGGCAGCTTCGCTGACACGCACACACACACACACACACACAGAGAGAGAGAGAGAGTGCAGATGAGGGATGGACACACACAAGGATGTGTCCTGCCTGTGTGGTGTGGGTATTGACTCCCACCTGCATTCATTTGGTCCCTGTGGACGTTGAGGAACTCAAAGGCAGCTCGGGGCGTGATCAACGACTGGCTGGCAGGACGATAGCTGCAGCAGCGAGGACAACAGCCATGAGTGGCAGCACCAGTGCCATCCGTCCGTCTGTCTGCGTGCCCACCCATCGTATCTCTGATGGCAGCCGCGACACAGATTGACCTGCAGTGCCACAACCAGCCCGAAGATGATCTCACCATCCATCCGCCCCAGTCGTCTATAACCATTTCTCACCTTGATTGCGCCGACCAGCCGCCGTGCAGTGCCCAGCTCATCGCCGCAGTCATAGCACCGCCGCGTGAAGTACCGGTGGATCATATCACGCAGACGAGAGGCTGCAAGAAGGCGTGCACACAACGGACGGCAACATTGAATGTGCGCACGAGCCCCACGTGGATGGCCTCCGTAGTACTGTACCTGACAGCTGGTTTTCGGATCGCACACCCTGCGGCAGGGGCACTTGCCGTGGCAGCTGTCGGTACTTCTCCACCCATATCTCACGCGTATCTGCACACGCTCAAGAACGGCACAATGACCCTCACCCACCGCTTTGTGCCTTTGCTGCCTACGTGTGAGTTGGGCGAGGCATTTCTCGACTCTGAAGAGGCGCAGTAGCTCATGCGGGGCCAGGTGGGCCATCACTGAACGCATCACCTCGTCCGGCAAAGCACCGAACGTGAAGCCATCTCCACGAGCTGAAGCTGAGGACACAGCCGCATTCCCACTTGTTGCGTCCTCCTCCAGGTCGATGGTGACGACTTGTCGCTGTCTTGGCCTCCGTGACGCCGCAGACTCCTCAGAGATGACTGAGGGACAGCCGGTCATTTGATTCGGTGCAGCAGGCGGTGTACGACGGGAGGCTACTTGCGGCTGCCGACGGCGGCTGGGCGTCACGTGGGGCATCTCATCCACAATCAAGCACTCGTCATCGATGTCCATGGGCGACTTTCGGTCTGTCAAGAATTCTTTCCCGGGGAGATTCGAGACAAACCCCGGAATGCTTCCAGTCCGCTCGTCAGATCAGATTCTGTTTCTGGCTGGAATGATGCTAAGCTCGCAGGCGAGTTGCTCCCTGAAAGAGGAAGAGAATGAAGAGAAGAGGGAGGAAAGGCAAACGACAATGCATTCGCCTCTGGGTTCCTACTCTCGTGCAGGTCGTCTTGAAAAGAAAGGAGAGGATGTGTGTGCGCGTGATAGACGACTCGCCTCCCCCGAGGCCGACACGTTCATACGGGCGGTGCATGACTCGCTTCCTACCCCTTGACGGGCCCACACATCAGGCGCAGCGATGGACGGACGCATCGATGGGCTCACACAGGTCGGTAGTAGTGAATGCGCAGAATGAGTTGGGGCTGTGCATTCAGTCATCGGATGTCACATCTACAGGTTCATGGGGACGGCGAAGGCCTCGCCAGAATGAGACAAATGCATTCCATCCAACGGCATCCGTCGTGGTACGCTCAGGACAGCCCTGCACGCCATGTGATGACTTCTGTGATTGCATGTGTATCCGCTACCCTTTTGCAGGGTGCCGACAGGCAGTGCGTGAGGACTGATGGTTCTGTCCCGTGTCGGCCGATGTCAACAAGTTAACACACAAGAAGCACAATGGACGAGTAAGCAACCATGACACACACAAGCCGAACACACAGACACCTACCCCTACCCCTCTCTCTTTGTCTGTGTCAGGAGAGGTGCGGCCCATGCGAATGGTGTTCACAAGCCAGTCATCATCCCCCGAATGTGTTGCTGAGGAGGCCTGCTCATGTATGGCTTTTGGTCGGTGTGACCCTATCGACTGAGCCAACTTGGGTACAAACGCATGGACACATGACACTTGCCAGCCAGTATTCGCTTCCTTCCATCTTCCATCTTTCGTGCAGGGCACATGGGGCATGCATGAGAGTGAAACCCACCGATGTCGCTGCTCTCACGTAAGCGACATGACACGCACGTGAAGCGTTTGTGGAATAGCCAGAGACCGCTTTGTCTCTTGTCTGTGTGTCAGGAGTCCGCGTGAGGGCGAGTGATCGGCTATCGAGGATGGCGAGCGCCGGTCGTTCCGTGTGGTTTCTTCCTGGCGCCTTGTGATCGATGTTACCCAATCGATTGAGTCACTGTCGCCTCACCACAATGGGTCCAGACACAAGTGGGGCTCGGCCGCCGGTCTTCACTGACTAACATCTCACCTTTCGTGCAGGGCATATGGGTAGACACATGAGGGACAGAAGGGCGTGGATGTCACTGCTCTCACTGCTCTTCTGTCGTGGCTTTGGTGGCTAATCTATCTGCCTTGGGCCGGCCATGCCATCGCTGTGTGCCAGGTGTTGAGTAGGCAGGATCGGTGCATGTGTGTCTGGACTGTTGATGTCAGTGAGGCGATCCCATTTTCGAGGCCATTCCATGGAGCTTGAAGGCATCCACTCAGTGCCAACGAAGGTGAACAACATCTCACCATACACACACCAATGCGAACCATGGCGTGAACTCATCCCGCTGCAAAGGTCAACAAGAAATCGAGCTGTTCCGGTCCATAATGGCTGGCTGGTCGGGTACTTTGAGCCTTGCTGAGGATCCACTAGAGGTCAAATGAAGAACATGTGCGCCCAGAAAGGCGCATCTCGGCGTCATACAGACCGCCATCCGGCAGGCCGAACAGTGAACAAATTTCATGAAAGTGAGCGGATTTCACGCAATCTGACCTTATCTGGGGCAGCAGCCATCGTCTCTCCGTCTGCCTGCCTTTACTTGCCTCCCGTTGTCCGCAGAAAGCGAAATACAATGGCGAGATTTTCGCGAGCTGAGACGGAGACAAAGATTTACGAGACGGCGGGCCGTTTTTCACATTTTCCGTCCCAGTTCGGCTTTGCAGCCTTGTTTCGGCCACATCCCCTCCAGTTCTTTTCCTTTTTGGCTGGTTGTTGGCTTATGTTGTCCGCCGCATCTCCCTCTACCCCTCCCAACTCGTCCGCATGTCGCCCGCCACTTTTTCCTCCACCGCCGTGCCCCGGGCGAGGCCTTGTTTGGTGGCGCCCCGCCTTCTGAGGAGCGGCTGGCGACTGCCTGGAGCCTGCCGAGTGCGCGCGCAGCTTCTTTCCGCATATACCGACCTCCGACAGGTGACTACATATCAGTGTGGCCTCGTGCGTCATTTCTCTTGGGTGCGGTGATGGTGTGGCGTGTGGATGATGTGTAGGGATGAATGTGTGGTGCATTTCGTTGCCATGGGTGTGCTCAGATGCCTCCTGTTGCCGTGTTTGTGCGTGCAGATGAACGGGTGGCTTTTTCTTTTTGTTCCCGTCTCTTTTTCTCGACACATTTCTCTGAAGATTGGTGAGGTGGGTGACTGCCTCAGTGAGTCCGGTGTTGACGCGCACGTCAGATTCCCTGTCCGCTGCTTTTCAGAAAGGCGATCCCTTGGTCCGACGAAAAAAAGCGAGAAAAAGAGACAGATTTTACGCATTTTGAGTATTTATCTTTCTGTCTTGCGGCAGGCAGGGAAGTTTTCACTTCGACGACAACAAGCTGCCCAAGACGCCTTGCCGAGGATCCACTAGAGGTCAATTGAAGAACCTCTGCACCCAGACAGGCGCATCTCGGCGTCAGACCGACATCCGGCCAGCCGAAAAGTGAAAAAATTCCATCAAAGTGAGCGGATTTCACGCGATCTGACCTTATCTGCGGCAGGAGCAATTCTCTCTGCCTCTCTCTCCCTCCTGTCGTCCGCAGAAAACGAAATTCAAATGCGGCGAGATTTCTGCGAGCTGAGACGGAGACAAAGATTTACGAGACGGCGGGCCGTTTTTCACATTTTCCGTCCCAGTTCGGCTTTGCAGCCTTGTTTCGGCCACATCTCCTCCAGTTCTTTTCCTTTTTGGCTAGTTGTTGGCTTATGTTGTCCGCCGCATCTCCCTTTACCCCTCCAAACTCGTCCGCATTTCATCCGCCACTTTTTCCTCCACCGCCGTGCCCCGGGCGAGACCTCGGCTGGTGGCGCCCTGCCTTCTGCCGCGCGGCTGGCGACTCCCTGGCATCAGCTGAGTGCTCACGCGCCTTCTTTTCGCCCAAACCGACCTCCAACAGGTGAGTACATATGAGTGTGGCCTCGTGCGTCATGTCTCTTGGGTGCGGTAATGGTGTGGTGTGTGGATGATGTGTAGGGATGAATGCATGGTGCATTTCGCTGCCATGGGGTGTGCTCAGATGCCTCCTGTTGCCGTGTTTGTGCGTGCAGATGGACTGGTGGTTTATTCTTTTTGTTGCCGTCTCCTTTTCTCGACGCATTTCTCTTTAGGTGGGTGAGTTGGGTGACTGCCTCAGTGAGTCTGATGTTGACGCGCACGTCAGATTCCCTGTCTGCTGCTTTTCAGAAAGGCGGTTGTTTGGTCCGACGAAAAAAAAACCGAGAAAAAGAGACAAATTAAGAAATTTTTCTCATCTTTGTGTCTTGCAGCCGGCCGAGAAGTTTTCCCATCGACGACAGCCTCCTGACCAACAAGAAAGCATGCGCATGGAAGCCATAAAGGTAGTCGCATATTCAGAAACGCTCACTGATTTCGTCAGCAGAAAACCGAGCTGCATCTGCAGACAAAAGCAGAGCTTCTGAGTAGGCCAGTCGCCTCATTTGCGCCGCCACCAAGGGCTCTGCATATCGTGACGAACACTCGACATCTATCCCTTTTGCCTTCTCTTTCAGCTCAGGGAAAGAAATCTGGCGACAAGGTTGCCCTCAAGCATTATCCTGAAGACCACTCAGGTAAGTAAGGGAGAAGAAAGAGGAAAAAGCATATATTTGCTCATTTCTCCGCTGGGTTTCCTCTTTTTCTTTTCGCACACTTGGCCGCTTCGGCGGCCATCTATCGGCCCAAGCTGCAGCGGACTGGTAACACCCGAATATGATATCCATCCATACATTTGCAGACCCTTGTGGGTGGCTGGCTGGATCGTGCAGCTGGCTGCTCCCCCCGGTCATCGGCGTCAGGCCAGGCCAGGCCGTCAGGAGCCCATCACTGGGAGCCGGGCACCCAAGTAAGCTCAGAACAAGTGCACCTTCAGACATATTTAGACGTCTCAGTCTATGTCGCCGCCATGGCCCGCAAGACGGCCAAGGAGGTAAGCTGGGGAGGATGTTGACAGGGAGGCAGGGAGGGAGGGAGCCTGACTCACAGTAAGAGAGTGGGAGCGGCACACGTGTGACATGGTATTTTCAGGCGTCGTTTGGATCGTCAGATGAGAGCACGTCAACGGACGTTAACGTGCCGGGGCCACATCTACACGTCACGGACTGAGAGTCACGGAGACCCGAAACAAGAGGAAAGCCCGCGCGGTACTAAGGCGGAACATACATGAGCCATTGCCGCGTACACGGACTTTGAGCTGTGATGCATCTGCTGTCATGCTACAGAGAAAGGCGACTCGTGTGCGCATAGCCGAGCAGGCCAAGGCGAGCCAAGCGCGCGAGGAAATGGAAACAACGAGAGTATAAGGCGAAAACGTGTACCTTGTCGCATGTGGATGGGGGGTTTTGTGTGTGTGTGTGTGTGTGTGCAGCTGATCTACCTTCTGTCGGGCAAGTCAACGCACAAGCTCACGGTCCGTCAGCGCCCCTGCCCCTCCCCCACACACATCGGCAACCGTATGCCCACACACACCGAGATGCACAAGCATGGTGTGAGAACATGACGAGATCGACATGTGAGAGTTATCTTTTTGTGTGTCTGCACTCGCAGATCGAATCGTTGCCTACGTTCTATATTCGTCGGCATATCTTCGCTTCTTCGCAGTCATGTCTCCGACAGGACCAGAACAGGACCTCAATGGCAAAGACATACACAATACAAAAAGGAATACTTTGTCTTCTCCGCTCTTCTCTCTGTGGCTGGGTGGTGTGCAGATCGCTGGCTACATTTTATATTCGATCGGTCGATGACGACTTCAAAGCGCACTGCCTTCCCAGCCGTTTGCACATCAAAAGTGAGCTGTCAAAATATACTGCACTGATCAAGTCATCTGTACGTGTCTTGTGCCTCTGCGTGTGCAGATGGATGTCGCTGTCTCCCTCTTACATCTCCGATGCGCCTACTAACTAAATCGCCCACGTCTGCCCCCGGCGGCCCCACAGGTACGGAAGTGAGGGAGACACAAAAGAGGTGGCAATCAAGATGTGCTAATGTCTTTTCTCTCTTCTCTGTTTGTCTCCACATCTTTGGCCGCTTTGGCGGCCCCCGAGAGACGCCTCTTCTATCCGGCCCGCTACCCCACTGGCCCCACTGACGCGACGCTGCCTGACGCGATGTGGGTACTCATCTGTGTGTTCCCATCTGTTCGAAGAAAGTCAGACGTCTGCTGTGTGCGATCATCAGGAAGTCATCCGTCTGCTGAAAGACAAGCTCCGCGCCGATGAGCGGGCCAAGAATGAGGCCCTACTCGAGCAGGTAGGAGGAGAGGGAAGGCGGGCCAATGGCTGCCAACAACCTCAACTGCCCTGTCTTTCAGGAGCTGTTGCGTGTGCGCCGGGAGAGTCGGAGATCATCAAGGTAAGATCATCGACCTGAACACATACCAATCTGAGATGCCGTGTGGTGTTTGTGCAGGAGCTGACGGCCGCCAAGGACTGCAACAACCAGCTGCTCGACGAGCTCACCGATGCGAACTTCAAGAAGCCCGCCGCGAAGGTACCCATGAGAGGAGTGACGGCTTCAATGATGCATTTGTGTGTGTCGACTTGTGTGTCAGACTACCGCGGTGCAGACGGTATCCTCCACTCATATCCATTCACTCACACATGGGCAGATCGACGTCCATTCTACACGTGTGTGTGTGTGTGTGTGTGTGTGTAGGTCAACGAGCCTTCTCGTGTTGGTGGCGGCGGCAAGGCTGAAAGTCCTCCGGCTCCTCCTGTGTTGGTACGCGCCATACACTCACTCACACATGGGCAGATCGACGTCCATTCTACGTGTGTGTGTGGGTGTTGCTGTCATCTGTGTGTGGCTTTGGAGGGCGGTCGAGCGCTACCAACGCCACCACCTCTCCCGCGACCCCATCATCAGCAGAGCCCGCCTGCTCACAGAGACGGCCTGGCGCCGCGCCGTCCTCTACGGCCCCTTCGGCTCATCCACCGCCACGGCCGCCGTCGGCAGGGCAGGGTGCTCGCCGACCTGGCCACTGTCGGCGACTCCCTCGCCTGGGTGTTTCGGCTGCCGCGCGGGACGCCTTCGGCCCTCCAGCCATACAACAGCAGTGAGCAGCCCACACAGAGAGAGCAGAGCAGTCCACCACACGCATCCTGGCTCATACGTACGTGTGTGTTGTCGTGATGTCATGGTGTAGGTCTTTCACCTGTGAGGCCGACAGAAGAGACCACACCGTGCATCGCACACACACAGAAGGTGAGCGGGCGCTCTCTGAGGCGGTGCGAGGGGCGTGGAGGCAGTGCAGCGAGGCTTTGAGGGATTCGGTGAAGGGCTCATGGCATGCTGGTGGGGGGCTGCATGGGAGGGCATGTCTGTGGGCGTCAGAAAGGCACCTGGGCGTCGCAGCGAGGCAGTCAGGCGGGCTCCCACGTGATGCATGCTGTAATGAGGATGAGCCCCATGAGAGCCATCTGATGCTCACCTGCCGTGTCTCTCTGCTGTGCTGGATGGCAGAGAGGGGGGCTGGTGCCAATGCAGACCCACCGACGGCACCGTGCAGCCCCACCCCGACACCATAAGACAGGAGCCGCCAAGTAAGTCACACACACACAAAGCTATGCACATCTGATGCACACCTGCCGTGTCTCTCTGCAAGAAGGCCGAGGAGGATATCGATCGCCGTCTACATTTTGTATTCCTGAGGCTCTCTCGTGACCGACATCGATGACTTCGATGATTATCTATTCACTGCACAGTAAGAGGCCACCACCTGGTGTGAGAAATGTCGAGGTCTGCGTGTCTGTCTGTGCCTCTCACCAGAGTTGCGTTTTCGGAAGAGAAGACGAGATGGCTGGAAGGATGTGTGCTTCATCCAGCGAGCCGTCCACCCCCTCGCCGAACACGTACACACACTCACTGGAGGGATGGAAGGGACGTTATAGGGTACACGTACACACACTCACTGGATGCATAGAAGGGACGTCATAGGGTACACGTAGACACTCACTGGATGGATGGAAGGGACATCATAGGGTATACGTACACACACTCACTGGATGGATGGAAGGGACGTCATAGGGGATGGATGGAAGGGACGTCATAGGGTACACGTACACACACTCACTGGAGGGACGGAAGGGACGTCATAGGGTATACGGGAAGGGACGTCATAGGGTACACGTACACACACTCACTGGAGGGAT